TTTTTTCGCATTAGCATTTTATGATGAACATTTATTTTCAGAAAAAGAAGATGGTCGAAGCAACTCATATTATTCTTCTCATAGATATTGTCGTTCTTTCGATTATTTTTGTGTTAACTTTAATTTATCTTCTACCAATTATCTTAGTTAGACGTTTTCATACTGCATCTAATATTTTGACCAGTAATGTCTGTTTGGTTAGCATTCTTGGTTCTAGTTTTTGGATTGTGTATAATGTATTATTCGGCTTTTATGAGACTATTTTGATTGGTTCTACTATTATCTACACTATCTCTAGCTATTTTTCAGCAATGATCAACTGTTTAGTGACTTATTCTTTAGCAATGATTACTATAAATCGTTTTTTTACAATACGTTATCCAAATAATAGATTGTTTAAAAGACAAGCATGGTCTTTCATCTCCGCGGCGTTACAATGGATGATCACCATACTTTTGTGTGTACCCAATCTCATTGTCTCTATTCAGGTAAATATTAGTTGAGAATGATGCAAAAATATCAATCAAGAATTGGTTTTTACGATCATCATTTAATATATTTTTAGGAATGTACATACGGCAATAGCAGACCTTATTGGCTTGACTTCTATAGTTTATTTATTATTGTCATATTACCTTCAATCATCAATGGAGTTTTCAATTCAGTTATATTTTTCTCTGTACGTTCATCGACTCGCCGTATGCATGCCATGACAATGACTAACTCTTCTGTTGCTAATCCAAATCGTCAACATTCTCGAGATATGTATTTATTGAAACATATGCTTTTCATATTTGTCGTGTTTATCAGTGGATGGGCACCTGTTTATATTGTTCCAGTGGTTGATTTAAATAGACAAGCACCTTTATGGGTTGCTATGTTTTTACAACTTTTGCCTGTATTAAGCTCCTTAATTATGATTATAGATTTGTTCTTTTACAACCATGATATTAGAAAATATCTGAAAGAACAACTCTTGAAGTGTTTGTATTTCAATCGGAATTAAATAAAAAAGCAGATTTCTTATCAAAAAACCTAATTCATATGAAAAATCTTGCCATTATAAGCTATTTGTAAACGATTTAGACAAGCTTAACTTGCGTTAAGGGTTATGCTACAAATTCAAATCCAACATGGTCGAGATATTCATTAACTCAAAAAAATGATTTTCATTTTTGTCATCTTTACTAGCGGACAGGTACCTGTTCATGTTCTCCCAGTAATTATTTAGAATAGAAAAATATTTCAATGGGTTTCTCCATTGTTACGATTTTTGCCTTTAGTTGGCTCACTCATCGACATAGTGAATTTGCTCTCGTATAATAATAGTTCTAGACAACATTTGGAAGAATGACACTTGAATGATTTACATTTCAATTGAAATAGGGTGTGGGCGTGGATGTGGATGGATGGACTGGGTGTGAGTGTGGGTAAAGAGAAGACCAACATAAACTCGTACACCCTCACCCACTCCCATACTCACACACTCACATCCTCAAATAGTTAAGAGAGATAATAGTATTATTACTTTCCATTGAATCTTGGTACACGTAGTGTTCTTTTTTGTCTTCATCAGAGCTTTATAATTGAAAGGTTCAAATTTAAAAATAAAAAGTACAACAAATATTATTAAAAGAAGTAAACATGGTTTGCAATGATAAAGTCATAATGGAACAACGAAAAACATATTTATGCATCAATGTTTTTATTTATTATTTTTTTTAGTTCTTCTCTCTGTAATAGTTTCTTTAGAAGTTCTTTTTCGGTTATTTTTGCGATTGTCACAAGAATAAATATTAACATTATTTTTAATATCCAATGATGTTGATTCAGAATTAATGATTTCTAAATCTAAAAAAGATATGAAATATTTTTGATTGATACAAAAGAAAAAATAGTAAGATATTCCTTTATTATTGGTCTGAAAGAGTTCAGTATCTTGTTTCGTTAATTGCATTGTAAAAAGAAGTAATACTTTTTATTATCCATATGGTATAAAATTCTGAAAAATGAAATCAAGCTTACCATTTGAGTTATGTAGATTTTGATTATTAGCGATTAAATTGTAGGTTGACGAGATACCAGATGTCATAAATGTTGTATTCGATTTATTGTATTTATTTTGAACGGATGGTAAATAATCATGTTCATTAATTCTCTTGTTTTCATTCCTCTTGATAAGACGCATGTGATACCACTGTAAGTACGCAACAGTGTCAAACTTGAATTCAATATTAAAGCGCTATTTCAACTATTCAGTTATCTCTTTTCTTGACACCCACATCAGCTGCGAATAATTGAATAGTTGAACTTCAACTATTCCTAGCAATGGAGGTGTTTGTGTTGTCAGTTAAAAAGACTTGAATTTTCGGATCAAAATAAAGCTCTTATCGCCAAACTGACAATTTTAAAGTATTAGCGGCTCTTGATGTCCCTGGATCCACGCACATCAAAGGCCACTAATACTTTAAATTTGTCAGTTTGAAGGTGAGAGCTTTATTTTGACGCGAACATATCAAGTCTTTTTAACTGACAACACAAACACCTCCATTGTCAGATAAAAAAATCTAAATTTTACATGAACGAGTGAGAGTATTTGGAAAAACGCGTGAAGATCCACGAAGACTTATATCTTTTGCAAGTTATCAGACCTATTCGAGTTAGGTACATAGCCAAAATATTAGACTTTTGTACGCTTGCCTAAGAAAAATAGCAGGGGCGTACTTTCTCAATTTTAAGTCTAATGAGCTATTTTACGTAAGCCACGACCATTAGCATAGAGAAATTTCTTAATTACAATCCTCAAGTTTTGCTCAATTCAACATATATTTTCCAGGGAAAACAGTTTTATTAATTTTGACGCAAAACTATGAATGAGTTTTATCAGACGACTTATGTCTTACTAAAAACGACTGTTTGGGAGAAAAGCCTAGTGCAACAACAAAAATGGAATTAATACGCTAATTTAATAACTTTTCAAATTGCCTTTCAGGATGAAATCGCGAAAAATAACTGGTGTTTCTGGCATAAATATCAAACCACTGTCAATATAAATGTTTAAAGAATCCAAAAAAATCTGGGATTTTGCCATAAGCTGTCTGTTTGTTTGTACGAAGGTCCAACCATGATTAGTATTAAAATACTGGTAGGCTTTTGAATTCTGTCAGATTCGGAGCGAAACATAATAAACACTTCAAAAATCCTTCCATTTATCACTATCGATACTTTACTAAAGATTGATGTCAAAATTTGTGTTGTAACCTAAAGATTAACAATTCTTGAGCAAATCTTGAATAGAAACTGATTAAAACTTTGATGAAACCTTTACATCCATCGTAAATCTATAGATATTGCATCAAAAACTCATGAAATTTATACTACAGTGTTGCTTGAGAATGCTTGACCAAGTTTTCATTCATTTTTTATATTCAATTTGTTCTGATTTTCTGTCACTGAAAGAAATAGAATGTAGATGTGAAGAAGATCTTCAATATGACAAAACTCTGAAAGATAACAGCAACATTCGATCTAATGAACACTCAATTTTGTTGTCAAAAATGGTTTTGATTATTTTATGACAAACAGATTCGTTTTTTTTCTAATAATTTCGATAAAAAAAAATTGAGTTCTCATTTCAAAATCGTCATGTTGTGGAGTGAATTGAGAACAAACGGAACTTCATATGAAAGTTTTGAAAACAAATTGATCGTATAGGACTATGGAACTTTGTTACAATGTCTGAACAAAAATCGTTTGGTTCTCCGATCATTAGATCAATGCGACACAAAATAAGGACTCAAATAGTGTGTCGAGAAAGTAAAACTAGATGGCATTCGAGTTTCACTCAATTACGAAATGCAATGCAAAGCTATGAATATCGATCATCGAAAAAAATCAATATCTCATAAAAAAATGAATAATCATTTCTGTATGAAATTCAAAAGCATGTGAGAGCAAATGACTAATTATTAATGAATTTACTTGTAATAATTATAATGAAAATTTGATTTTCATACAGATTTAATTATAATGTCAACTCATATCTTTTGACTATTTTTTCTACCTCGATCTCAGCAAATCTTATTTCATTAATCTATCTTGTCGAAAATTTTGTTTAATCTCTCCTTACTCTAAGTGGTTTATACAGAAAAAAATTTTTTTTTAAACTTATCATGAAATTTCTGTAGTTTACTATATGGTGGTAATGACTAGTTTTAAAAGAAGAATATTCAAAATCGACGGTATTGTCTTTCGTCGTTGAATGAAGATAATCGTTAAGAATAAAAGAAATACTAATCATTAATTTTTTTTCAAAAGGATATTGGCCACACATGGCTAGCCCGAGGCAGCCAGCATTGGACGACGGAGATGGCGCGATTTCTTAGGAGGATGTAAAGATTTTTCTTCTAAGAGAACGCACGAAATATTTTCGGTTCCACTAAGAAAAAAATAAGACGTTTTTTCTTGCTTATTAGGGGTGTCATTCATTTTCGTCATCTCCGATGGCTATTCCTGTAGTCAGAAACAAATAAAAGTTCTTTGATACCAATGATTACAACAAACCTTTCTAATATCAGTAGCTAAATACAAAGCTTTTGCTTTTGTTTGATATATGAATATCACACAACATATAGTGAGAACAGATTTGTATTGAAATACCAAGCAATACATTTATGTGTATGATTGAGAGTATAATTTTAGGTTTTTTTTGTTTTTAAATTTTATTTTTTTCTTCTTCTCTTAGTCAGCTCAAAAATTCTCCTAAATTGTTGTATGACCAACAACAAAAAATTGAGCTGATATAGATTTCAAATGCGTATGCCGATGACAAGTGTACAAAACAAGAAAACATGAATGAATACACGAACAGAAAAAACAACTGTTACATTTATAAAAGGAAAATGATGAAGAGATCTTAAACAATCAGTCATTTCCTATAGAAGATGTTATAATATTTAACTGTTCGTGAAGAGATAACAAAAAAATGGATACTGTTACACTTATAACTTGTCATAAAAATCATCAAGAGGTGGAATACCTTCTTTCAAGCCTTTGCGTTTACGGATATCATTAATAATTTGACGAATCTTTGATGAGTCATCGAATGGATCTTGATTCATAACTTGCCAGTGATCAAATACACATTGTGGAAAAGCTTGACCACCTGTATTTGAACGAAGATCAGCAGTAAAGCCTAACAAAAACAATAAAATATGATATAAAACTGTATATTCTCTTTTCTAATATAATAAATTTTTACCGAATGATTCATTGACGGGTAAATAAGCTTTAACAATAAACATAGGTGTTCCAGTTACATGATTTTCTTCAAATACATGTCCACGACGACGATTCAATACACCATAGATACCACCAACAGCAACTTCAGGACACTATAAAAATAAATAAAAAAATACACATATATACATAAATTTATGCTAATTATTCTCTTAATTCAAAATCATTTTAAACGTCTCACTATTGAAACCTTCAATTTCACTGTAATGTCATACAAAGAAAAAAAGGAAACTCCATCGATTTGATATTGCCAGAAGAAAAAAATTGATATCTTATATAATTTCATTAACATACCTGTACTTCACAAAGATATACTGGTTCGAAGAGACGTGGTTTAGCTGTGAGCATTGAAGCATAAAGAACACGACGGGCAGTTGGAATAATTTGACCACCACCACGATGAATAGCATCAGCATGTAATGTAACATCATGAATATCAAAACGAACACCACGAACATTTTCTTCAGCAAGAACACCTTCTTTTGTAGCCCATTGAAAACCAGCAACACAACTATCTTTTATTTCATTTAAATATTGTACACCTTTAGTACAATCCATTAAAACATTTGGTCCTGTGCCTTCAGGTCCAAAACACCAAATTTTACGTGCTTCATTTACATCATAATCATATTTTTCATTTAAATAACGAGCACGTGCTTTAAATTCTTGACGTGGTGTTACTTCACCTTTATCAATATCTTCAGCTAACCCTAAACAATAATAAAAAGAAAAAAATTTAGTATTTGTTGCTTTTTTTTTTGTTAATCCAAAAATTAAATCTTATATTTACCATCAGGCATTGGTCGAGCTTTTAAAAAGATACGATTATGTTTGTTAGGTGATTTCGATAGACACATGATATCAGATTCTTCAGATACAGTTTCACGATATGATACGACGGGATCAGAAACTTTAATTGGGATACAAGCATGATCTTCTTCAAGATCTTTCAAGCAAATTTCTAAATGTAATTCACCAGCACCGGCTACAATATGTTCACCAGATTCTTCGATGATACACTTTAATAAATAAAACATTCAATGTAAAATTTCATCATAAAAAAAAAAAAGAATTACTTACTTGAACCATAGGATCTGATTTAGCTAAACGTTTCAAACCTTCAACCAATTTTGGTAAATCAGCTGGATTTTTTGGTTCGACAGCAACACGTACAACAGGACTGACACTAAATTTCATCACCTAAAATATTTAAACATAAAATTTCAATTAATTAAAAATCAAATAACATACACGAAGATTGTGTGCATTTTCAAATGTTGTAATTGTACCCGTTTTAACTAAATATTGATCAACACCAACAAGACCACAAATATTACCACATGGTACATCTTCAATAGGTTCAGTATAACGACCCATCATAAGAATTGTTCTAAATACAAAAAATCAAAATCAAAAAATCAAAAAAATCAAATATTTTGTGAAAATCAGAGTTGGGATATATTCCATCAATACAATATTTGGATGGGGAATCCTGTTATCATCATATTTTCACATAGAAACAAAACTTGAAAAAATAAAAGAAACATTTACATACCGTTGAATACTTTTAACAAAGAGATCTTCTTTTTTGCCTGGTACATAATTAGGACCCATAATACGTGCTTTTTGACCTGTTTGAACAACACCCGAAAACACACGACCAAAAGCATAGAAACGGCCTTTATCTGATGTTGGTACCATCTTTGAGATGTACATCATTAATGGAGCTGTTGGATCACATGTTTTAATACCTAAAAATGCTTCATCATCTTGTGGACCTAAATACAAACATATGTTTAATTTTAAAAGCTAATCTATTTATATCGAATATATACCTTCATAAAGAAGTTCAGCACGATATTTTTGTGCAACAACAGGTGATGGTAAATGTATAGCAATCATTGTTAGTAGAACATCACCAGCTGGTAACCATTGTTTCATAACAACTTTTAAAAGTGGTTTACCACCTTCTTCTAATTTATCACGATCTTCACCTTGTAATTTAATATTTAATTTTTCAATTAATTGTGTATATTCATCTTTTCTGCAATCCATAATAGCTTTGAATACTTTGAAAATAGGATCAAGAACAAATTGACAAAAACCACGAGTATAACCTAAATTAATTAATTATGATTTAGAATAACCAAAAATAAAAATAAAAATTTATTTACCTTCTCCACTTGCTTTTGACCATTTCTTATCTGTTGGTGAAAAAAAATTATCACCCCATAATCGTTTCATAAGTTTATCAACTTCAATTTTAAATTTTGATGAATACATTTCAGCGAATTCTTTGAGTGTAAATGCCCAACCATGAAGACCGGCACCAAAACCAACTGTACCTTTTGTTGGATCAACCTTAAAATTAAACATTTTTGTGAATATTCATAATTAATTATTTCTATTTACTTGTAATTCACCCATTGGACCACTATCATCACCATAAGTAGCAATAATGACATTAACATTTTCAACAATACGTTGAAATGTTTGAAAAAGATCTTCTTGTTGAAGTTGTAATTCAAGTAAAGCACGATCCATTTTATTCATGAACAAAATTGGTTTGATACGTTCGGCAATAGCTTGACGAAGTACAGTTTCAGTTTGTACGCACACACCTAAATTTAAAACAAACATATATATTTTTTGAGTTTGAAATAAACTAATATATATATATATTTACCTGAGACACAATCGACAACGACGAGAGCACCATCAGTAACACGTAAAGCAGCAGTAACTTCTGATGAAAAATCTACGTGACCTGGTGAATCAATAAGATTGATTAAAAAATGAGGTAAATCAGGTTCTCGTTCTTGTTTAATAAATATTAAATCTTTAGCAGGTAATTCATAATAAAGTGAAATAGCCCTAGAAAGAAAGAAAAAGAATAATTAATTTTAAATAAATAAAACCATTAAAAAAACTCCATACGTTGATTTAATTGTAATACATCGTTCTTGTTCATCCTTTCGTGTATCTGTAAAACGCATCTCACCGGCCTTTTGCTGAGCAATAATACCAGCTTTACACACAAGTGAATCAGTTAATGTTGATTTTCCATGATCAACGTGAGCAATGACGGACATGTTTCGGATGTTCTTCTTCTTGTCCATCAAGCCACGAATTTCGTCGACAGTAAAGTTAACCTATAATCATTTTCATAATATTTTACATCAATGCTTTGATTTTGTTGTTATCTTACCATGGTCGAGTTTTTATAGAATATTTAAATACTCGTTTGAGATGGTATTTATTGATTGCTCCGACGAGAAGGATCTTTCTGAAATACAATAAAAGCAAAATATAATATATTTGAGCTTTGAAATAAAAGAAATTTGTATTTATAAAAGGATAATGAAAGTATTGCACAATTACTGAGATCAACGGGCTAAGTAGAAGGGTAATAGAAGAAAGAAAAAGAGAAAGAGAGAGAGAGAGGGAGAGAGAAAAAACTAAAGTGTTGAAGTCATCATATAAACATCGTATCTGCTCGTTAGATTGGCGGAGAAAGAATAAATAAGAAAGATCGAGAATCCAGGAGGTCGAATGGCTGACGATGATGATATTTTTTGTTTTATTTGCCGATTTTTTCATCACATGAGGGCCTACATGATTTGATTATGTTATCAACTAAAATTCATTTAGAAAATTTTTTTTTTAAATATTTTACATATATTTCTATGTTAATTTATCTATAAGAAAAAAGAATCACTATTGATTATCGCACATTTATGCACTTACATTTTTTACATAGATGAAAAAGAAGGAAATTGCTTGGGAATAGTGTTTAGATAATGGCGAATAGATCAATAGATTATCATAGATTTATACAGACATTCGATTAGCATTTTACAATAGTGGTGGCGCCACAGAAGGGTCGAGCTTTTCCGAAAATTTTTAAAGTTGTTGCTAATCGTGGTCTCGCAGTATGGTTAAGGGGAACTCAACCCCTCTCCTGAATAAAAATCCTAGCTTCCTCGCTATTTAGCAGTTTTTATATAAGATGTAAACCATCGTACAAAAGAATTATCTCATATTAACATTTGATTAAAATGAATAAACATAAATGAAACAAATACATTGCTGTCGAAGAAATTATAATGTAGTTAGAAAAGAAAATAGATTTGAATCTCTTGGTTTTTTTTTGCTTGAAATACACGAATTAGTTTGGATAAAAATTAATAACACGTCAAACCAAATAAAGAAAAGCCGACCGAACGTAGCTTTTCCCGACATCTACTTCTATGTTATATTGTATCATGCAGCGTGATCCAAAAAACCTTACCCCTTTTTGCAATAGATAGAGCTTGGATAAACCTACTGAATAGAGATATTTTTATTTATGAAATCTATGCTTGATTGCTATGCTCTCACTAATAGTTAATTTTCAGTTGAAATTTAGTGTAACATATAGAGCAACTGATATATTCGGTATGGAAATAAACTTTGATCTAGAAAGGATTGATTTTCCGAAGTTTTTTCGTTTTGATAGAATTATTTAATTTTGATGATAATGACTATTCTATCTTTGTTTACTCTGTTGTCTTTGTTTTCTTACTGTGAAACCAATGTTTATCAATAATTTAGATATATTGTTATAGCTGTTGAAACGCTCTATCTACAGCATATAACTGATCGTAACGAAAACGAATTCAAATAAGAAAATGCAAAATTAGTACAGTACATATTTGTTGAAAATAATATATAACATTGATACTATACGGATATTTAAATATTAGTAGAAATTTAGCAATAATTTAAAATTATTTACAAGTGTATTTAAGCTGTGAGCGTTTAAAAGCATAGTCTGAAACTTTCAAGTCATAATACTGTTTCGTTATGGAATTTTTACAAAGAATCGAAATCTAGTAAATATAATTTCGTTTCGCAAATAGATTTCATATTCAGTAAATTTCTTCTTTGTCTGTACTCATGTTGGAATGTATTCAAGAATAAAAATGGTTCTTTTTAGTATAGTTTGTTCAGCTTTATCTATTGAAAAAGATATTGATTCAAATATTAAATCTTTTAAGTGTAGAAATTACATTTCATAAGGGAGATTATTTTTGCTCATCATGTACTAGTTTCATCAAATAAATATCATTTCTAAACTAATTTTTTGATGGTTAAAAGTAATCAATTTATAACATTTTCTTGCAAGTGTGTTCAAAAAAAAGAGCAGAATGCAAGACATTATTTTGATGTCATTACCGTATGTCTGGCTGAAAATGTAAGCAACGATCCTTGTAACATATACAAGATACAGGAAGAACTCTTTGTAGATTTTAGTATTCGACTCAGTTCAATTAAATATGATGATATATTCTGCTGATTATTTACATATCTGACAATTTAATGACAGCTGATAATCTACACACAGTGAAATGCTAAACAGACGTTTCTGCTGAGCAAACAAACTTTCGAAAAGCTTTTTTTCCTAAACTTTGCATATGTATCGCTCGAGAAAGTTATTGAAGAATATATACCGTCTAAATGTAGCAGTGAAAACCAGTAGGCGTTCAAAAGCATTCTTAAGCCGAATGAGAATATCTAATTTTTTTGCGTGCTGACTATTTTTTGACTAACTGATTAGTAGTCTTTTACTACTCAAAACAGAAACGTCGTTGAACAGCCAAAATCAACTGCCACAAAAGATCTTTGACCGTATTATCTGTTACAATATTGTAAAAGTAAATGAACAACGCATTGTGAAGCATTTGGTTGGTAATAACTGATATTGTAACACCATATTCGAGAATAGTTGTGTGATTGATGAACGATGTGAAAAAAAGTTCGTGAGAAACAGAGAATTCAAGAAGTATCTAGATGTGAAGTACCGCGTCAACTTCATCGAATTGGGTACAAAAGCATGCTACTCCGAGGGGTGTCGAAGAGACTTCCTACCTGTAGATAGAAGATTATGGTAGTGAAAGTTTGTATCAACCAATATTATATTTCGAGCTATTCGTTTAGAAGGATTATAAAAAATTGTCTTATATTTTCAAATTATTCAAGGTCATCTCTTTTATAGCATGAGACGATAATTTAGACAAAGATAATAATTTCAACATGATAAAATCATTAGAACACAAACAACATATAAAAATTTTGTGTTAATCTTAGAGTGAGTTATACAGAAACTAGAATCAGCAAGTCTTCACGGATTAGACGAATTCTTGCACGAACAATATCCAATAAATAATTGATATATCAACTCTATACTATTTCATTACATTGATGATATTCAGATGTTTTTGGACTTCGAATTTTTGAAGAAAAAAGAGAAGCAATTTATAATTATTATATTTTGGTAGTAACTTGTGTGAGTGCAAAAAGTGAATAAGAGACTGTTTTTTAATTCATTGCTTCTGTGAAACAATTTTTTCCAAAGACCAACAACAAATTGTTTTTTCTTGCATTCCATTGTATATTGAAAAGCCTAAGATATCGTTTGATTTTCTCATTACATGTTCAAACATCTCGCATACTGAGGATGATTATATTAGTACTACCGAATCATCAGTTGCCGTATACCTATCATAACTTTCACTATCAATATTTTTGAACGAAAATCTATATTTCAAAATGAACAACATATAAAAAAAATATTTTTATTCTTGTACAATTTTAATGTAAAACAAATCAAATAAAAGCACAATCATCCATGAGAAGTGTCATTATTAGTGCCTGTCAGGTTTGAAATATTCGTATCCGGATTCGATGGATTCCTGAATCAGCCTGATGAGTTCTAACCATTGTATTTGAACTTCGGTCGTTGAAAGTAGTAACATAATTGACAATTTGTGATATTTAATTTCCGATAAACGATAACAAAAGATGATATAATCGATGTGTCATTTTTATTTCAAACATTGAAAATATTATATCATACATTTATTCAATATAATTATGACAATGCTATTTGATGATCAATAAAAACATTATCAAAGCAATATCTATATAATTCTTCAATATTTGGAATACATAATGATGTAATCACTTGAAATGTTTTTAATATTGTTTTTATAATACTATCTATGAATACAAAAGCTTAGCAATTGAACAGAGAAAAAAAGAATAATCTTAGTTTGTTTTTTTCGTATGTCAATATAGTAATTAATATGTTAATTATGAAATTCAATTTAGCATACTTTTTTTTCCTTTTCATTTTATTTTTCAATTCATCAATGATTAGAAATTCTTCAATATAACAAATGAATCAACAATGCATAATAATCATGTGCATATTGTGCTACTCAATCAGCAAATATCATTATTCATTTAATGATACTGAACACGATTCATATGTCAATAATGTTTCGAGTCTTTTTTTTTAATACACTCTTTGGAGACATGTAGACAACATTTGTTATAGAGAGAGAGAGAGAGAGAGAGTGATGGTCATTTATAACATAAAATGAATACAATGAAATACGAAAAAAAACAGGAATGAAGATAAGACAACATTGAGGCGGAGGTGGAGGACGAACGAAAGGAATAGAGAATGAATCGAAGACACGTTCGAATGATGACTACGGATTAACACACACACAAGCACATACAAGCAGAAAAGCAATCAGCAATTGACCATCGACTGACGGTGACACGTTCATTACTCAAGCTTCTAGTCTCCGAAAAGATAGTTAAATTAGTTGTTATAAATCTTTTTTTTTTATCGTTTGTATCGATAAAAGTCAATCATTTATCACTATCAAATCTCAAAAGCACAGTAAGTATTCATTTATAATAATAAAATTGTTTTTAATAAACTAAATCAAAAACCTTGACTTTTATATTTTTTTTGCGATTACCAAAAATTTCGATAAGAATTCATAATAATCTCTTTCATTGATAGATCTATGTTTTTTTGTGTATTGTTATATCAAAAGAGGACAAACAGTACGACGGTATGTATCAAAAAAGAGACGTCAAAAGACGAGTTCATATGGAGTCAAATAAGCAATTAGCCTATTTCTGTTGATGGCGGGGATTCTCCTTTTGTTATATTAACTTTGTTCAGTTAATCCTTTATCGAATAAGAATAAAGAAGAAGTGACCAATGTTAAAAGAACTTTGAACTAAACTGAAATTTCTATATCTTAATTACATCGATGAATTTTGTTTTTCGTTTATTTATGTTTTTAAAAATATACTTTTTTTTTGTTCTCATTTATGTATTCAATGAAGAAAGAACGAAAAAGAAATGTCTACAATAATATTATTTTTATTTCTTAGATTGTTATTAACGGATCACTATAAGAAAAAAACCACATCACACAAATGACAATGGAATGTTTCGAACGAGTAAGTTGTTTTAAAATCAAAAATCAATAAAAAATCAATAAATATTATTCCATCGACTCGGCACTAATAACTCGTGCTAATGTTATATGTTCGTCTTGTGATGTTTCTGTTAATGTTGGACTCTGTCGAACTTCTATAAACTGTCGAGGTGATATAGGTTTGGATAGTTTTACCGATACTGAAGGTGGTGATTTTCGTGATACCTGATTGTTGTTAGTTTTTTGTTTTTGATTATTTGTTGGTAGAGCAAGATTTTTATCATAGACATTAACTGGACGACGATAAGCTTCCGTTTGTGGAGGTTGTTTAACAGTTGGATTGACAGTACGTGTAAGTGGTGGAACTGCTGCTTGTGGTGGTGCAGGTCGACGTCCTGTATTATTTGTTACTTGTTTTCTCACTGGACTTTCACGACCAAAAGCCGATGAAAGTGTCGAAGCATTTCGTTGATGAAAAGGACCTGTTGCTTCTTTTATCATTGGTTCCTTAGGATGAGCATGATGAGCTGTTTGAAACGAAGGATTTTGAGCAACAGGTTTTTGACGTTGTTTTGGTGGAAGTAAAAATCGAGATTTTGGTGAAGGAGCTCGTTGTTTAACTGGATTTTCATATAATTGACTTAATCTATGAACACTTTCTGGCATCATAGCTGGTGCTGTAAAAACATCAGGTAGAAATGTATGTTGTATATGTGGTGGACGTTCTACACGATTTTCATATAATTCAGGTACTAAATCAACATAGTCAGCTTTAAATTTTTTCCATTTTTCTGTACGTTTAATTTTTTCAGCATTACGATTAATTAAACGTATACATGCTAATTTAAGTGCTTCGGAATCTGATTCATGTGCACTAACAAGCATTTCAAGAGCATTATCCATATTAAGACGAAATATAAGAAATTCCGAAACTTGTCGACTTAATTTTTCTAATTCAAATCGTTTTGCAACAGTTAATAAATCTGGTGCATTTTTTAAACTAATTAAACAACGATTTGTATAAATAAAATTTAATATTTCATTCATTATGTCAGATTGTACATCATCAATACTTATTTGTAAAACATATTCACCTTTTGTTTCGAGATCATGATGTTCACCAAGAATATTTCGAAACCAAGATGAACGACCACCTATAGCAAATAATAAATACTTTAAGATGTTATTAAGATTTATAAGATTTATTTTTGTCCTCATGCTCAGTTGGTCTGCTGTCCTAACGAAGGAACTACGACAATTGTAATCCGTCGTTTGAACTCATATCGGATCCACAAGAGGTCTTGATAATACTAGAAAAATTCTAAAAGAACTCGTATCCATAGACCTCTGGAGCCCAGTTATGATCATTTTACTGAATTTTCGACCTGTAATTTTGTCAAAAAATAATCACTTGCCACAGACATATCACAAAAATCAAGTTTACTTGGAAATTCAATATATCGACAAAGAAACATTTTTTTCGACTGAGACTTTCATAATATTCCAAGGATCATTAGACGTAACTATGGACGAAATTGCAGTTCGAAATTCTATTAGTTGATTTTCCAGTAAAGATATATAAAAATAGGTCGAAAATTAAGTAAAACAGTCATAACTCGATTTCGGAAGCTCATAGGTATGAAATCTTTTAAGATTTTTCTAGTCTTACTGAGGCTTCTTTGTAGCTTTAATATGAGCTCAAACGACGAGTTACAGTTCGCGTAGTTTTCCCATAAGTGTCATTCTCACTTTCACCCTCAGCCTAATCTGTTCCGTGCGATAACGAAATGTATAGTAGAATTTATAGAAAAATCTTCCCTCCAAAAAAAAACAAATCCTAGAAGTTGATGAATATTTCTAGACAAAACAAAATTTTATCTATATACATATAAACTTTCATACCAAGAATACATCGATGTGTTTGTATTTTAACACCATCTTGACATTGAAGAATTGTATCATAGAAAAGACCATTTCGTAATACATCAAATAAATCTCCTTCGATATCATGAAATGGATATAAATTCTTTTCATTTTTAATTTGTTGATCTCTTGCAGTGTGTACACCAGTTTGATCATAGATAATAGTTGATGGTGGTTGTTGAGATAGGGTACCACTTAATGTAATTGAATCTTCAGCACTTATACTCATTGAAGTATCTGCTTGATCACTTGGTGTTTCCTTTTTATCAGGATTATTCATATTTTGAGTTTCAGCAATTGATTTGTATACACTAAATTCATTTTCACCAAAATATTGTATACGTAAATGATAATAAATACGTTCACGTTTACAAAAATAACGTAAAACATATGTTGGACTATTACAAAAAGGACATAATGCTCGAAAACGAACATGACCAGTTGTAATACCATAGTGTTTTTGATGTGATACATGCATATTACTTGCATATTTATTTGTAGGCATTGGTTTAATATTAACTCCATTGATCATATTATTTGTTAATATTGGATCAATAAGAGATTCATCACTAAGTTGAAATGGAATTAATGATCGACATCGATCACAAATAATCGATTCGAACAATAAAAATCCATGACAGCCACATACAGTTTGAATTGATGCATACATTGTCGTATATGTGTCAGTATTATTTGAACAATGAATACGATGCGTATTATTATTATTATTGTTGTTGTCTATATTATTTTGTATCAATCCTTGGATATGTTTGTTTTATGAATTAAAAAAAAAAAAGAAATGTATAAAAGAAAAAGGAGAAGCAAATAAAAAAAAATGAAATTGAATGTTCACTCTTCTTTATTGTTAATAAGGATTTTTTATAGTCTCTTATTGTTTTGATTTCACCTAAGCTACCATCCCCCTGTCATATTTCTTATATGAAAAGAAAAAAGAAAAAAAGAAAACGAAACCAAAGAAATGTAGAAAATAAAAAAAAAAAAATTATATATTCTATTTTTAGGGTAAATCAGTTTGGTTTGATTCAGGTGCTGGCTATCCAATAGCTGGGGAAGTTGTTGATTTGACACGAACTCGTATATCAATTAAATCACTTCTTAATGGAAAAATATTTGCTTTTGCAAATGATGATACAAATCGAGTTGTTTCACGTATACCATTACCACCTGAAGGTGTTAATGATATGATAACAATGAGTGATTTAAGTGAAGCTTCTATTCTTTGGAATATCAAAGTTCGATATGATTATCGACAATTTTATGTAGGAAATAGAAAAAGTCATTTCAAAAAAAAAAAATTATATACATTTTTTTTTCTATCAAAATTCTTAGACATATATTGGTAGTATACTTGTTGCTGTCAATCCATATTATATGTATCATGATATGTATTCAACAGATTATGTACGAAAATATGAAAATACTTTAGTTCTTCATACATTACCTGCGTACGTGTTGAATATATATATTTCATATTATTTCTCTTAATGATTGACTCATGTTTTTTTTTTGTAGACATATTTTTGCTACGGCATCAATAGTACACAGTAAAATGCTTTCAGATAAAATGAATCAATGTGTTGTAATAAGGTATGTGATTATGAATTATTGGTTCGATATAATGAGTGATTGAAAAAATTTTAGACAAAATATTTGTTCACTTTTGACCCGTTAGAAAGTATTTTCAACGAGTTCAAAAGCTTTGAGTTTGTGCTCAGACTTAGAAATTTTTTTCGAGAGTAGTAAAATAATCTTCGAAAAATGAAAAAAATTAGTTTGAATGGAATTTTTTGTATTTTCACTATTATGATTTGAAACTAAAAGCTGGGATATTCATTTATATATCAACTTATAGACCGGAAGCTATCCTACAGAATTCACTATCTTTTATCTTTCGATAATGAACTTCAATTTTCCTTTTTCTCAATACTCATTTTTGAAAAATCGACGACTGTTTTACGTTGAACAAAACTCTTGAAAAACTTTTTGGGTAAAAGTTACAATTTAGTTCAACATCACATTTGGTAGACAAGTGTCTGCTCTACAAAGACGATTGACTCCCACAATTTTTGGCATGTTCGAAAAGAGACTGATAGGGTAAACAAAAAAAATCTGTTAGCTTACCATTAAAACTAATTTTTCAAATCTTTCAAAAAGCGTTTCACTACTCTTGAACAAAAATAGATACAAAATTTTGGTCACGACCTATAGTTTTTGACTTGCCGGAAATTACTTTTTAGCTGATCAAAAATGAACAAACTCCTTGTCTAAAAACTTCCTGATCATCAGTTATAACAACAGAATGCTACCTTGATTTTGGTTTTTTTTTTCTAGTGGTGAAAGTGGTGGTGGAAAAACTCAAAGTACAAAATTAATTATGAATTATTTAGCAGCAGTAAGTCTTCGCGAATGTGAATATTAACTGTAGTAGAAGACTTTTGATTAAAATATAGGTTAATCCAGGCAAATATAAAGTAATTACTGAACAAATTCTTGAAGCATCACCATTACTTGAATCATTTGGAAATGCTAAAACAGTTCGTAATGATAATTCATCACGATTTGGAAAATATATTGAAATTTATTATTCTCAGTAAATATACATATATATATTCTTTATTAATATTCGTTTATTAAATAATCATTTTTATTTATTTCATTAAGAAAATCTATAGTTGGAGCTAAATTATCGGATTTTCTTTTGGAAAAAAGTCGTATTGTAACGCATTCAAATGATGAAAGAAATTATCATGTTTTCTACGAATTACTCGAAGGATTTGATACTGAAGAAAAACGTAAATATGGTTTAACAACACCAGAAAAATATTTTTATCTTAATCAAGTAATTTTTGTGTATTCATTATAAATTTGAAATAATGAACGATGTGAAAATTCCCAGACAAAATGTTTCTTCATCTTTTATACTCAGAATTTTGTGCTCTTTTCAAATATATATTCAAAATTTTTGTAAAATTCATAGATTAGCAATTATGAGTAAATCTTTAATAGGAAGTAATTGAACTAAGCGACCGAGAAATGGCAAATATAATTGTATCCTGTTTGAAATTGAATGTATACTATTTTTCTCGACACTTTCTTAGGCCAGATAGATATAAAAATTTCTTAAATCTAGGTCGAGAAATACGTGATACTTTGGAAACCGAATCGGAACCACCAAGTTCTACTTTCTATTACTAATTTTTTTACATAAAGTAAAGAGTGAGATAGTTCTTTACAAAGTAAACTATAAACTAGAAGTCTTGCAACAGTTCTTCAGAAATAATCGACCTGATTTTGTAAGCCTGAAAATCAAGGCGTTTCGAAGATGTCAATGTGTCTTTTACTAAAAATCTTATTATTGGGATTTTAGAATTTCTTCAATAAGATTTTCATCGATTGAACTATAAATTAGATATAGATTTTAAAAGATTTCTATCGACTGCATTGATGAGTATAAGCTATGATATATATATATATTCTAACAATCTTAGCTTCAGCCTTCATATGTATTCTATATTAATGTTGTTTTGTAATAGTTTGGGAAAATCCTGTTGATGAAATTCTGGACATCCCTATTATTGACAGAAGCATCTCAGAAAACTAATGATTAGAATATAATTTTGTTTACAAATGCTTGCTCTTTCTTTTAGTGTATTTTAAAAAATTTTACTTCTACCTTTGTGAATATATATTCGGAAAGAACACAAAATTTTGATTCTAATCCAATGCTTTATATTTTCTATTGCATCTTGTAATCGATCAAAAGATGAAGGAATATGTTGTCGAGAAATTTTCGCACCACATATTATACATATTGTTTGTTTGGTTTTTTTTTCTAAAGGGTGCTTCAATGGCTATATCAAGTAAATCAGATGCACATGATTTTCAATCATTATTAACTGCTATGAAAATTCTTAATTTTACAAAAAATGAACAAGAAACAATATTTAAAATTCTTGCTGCTATTTTACATCTTGGAAATATTTATTTTTCACGTACAGTTGATGATCCTGGTCATGATTTAATACAAATAAGTTCGAAAACTGAAATTGAATGGTGTTCACATTTACTTGCACTTAATGATCAAGGTCTTTTACAAAAATTAACACATAAAGTTACAGAAGCTCGTGATGAACGTCTTTTATCGCCATTTAATCTTGAACAAGCACTTGATTCACGGTAGATTTGTTGTTGTTTTTTTGTTTATTAAAAATAAAAATTATTTTTATATATTATTTTATTTTTAGAGATGCTATTGCTAAAGCTCTTTATTCAACATTATTTAGTTGGCTTGTAGCACGTATCAATCAAATAGTTCGTGTAAATAATAATGTTGATAATAGTATTGCAATTTTGGATATATTTGGATTTGAAAATTTTTCAACAAATAGTTTTGAACAATTGTGTATTAACTATGCTAATGAAGCATTACAATTTCATTTTAATAGACATGTATTTAAACTAGAACAGGTTAATTTATTCGAAAAAAAAAACAACTCAAATGGAATGGTTGAGGTTAACTTGCACTCTCTCTTTTTTTTCTCTTTTGTTTACAGGAAGAATATGCAAAAGAAAAACTTGCATGGAAGAAAATTGACTTTGCTGATAATACTGATTGTCTTGATTTAATTGGTAAAAAGCCAAATGGAATTTTACAAATTCTTGATGATGAAAGTAATTTTCCAAAGGTAAATTAACAGAAAGAAAATTGTTTCTATTTAAAAAGTATATCTGAGCAAGGAAATTCATATTTCATAATCACATCATTTTGGACGCCTTGACCTGACCTGTACTGAGTCAAGAATTACTCATGTTTGTTCGATACGACTCTATTAATGTTTACTGTGGCATTGGCGATAGATTTTATAAAAGTCTTCACTGCATTTCAATAGTTTGCAAAAAATTTACTGTTCTGTAGAAAATTATTTTCTGAATTTTTCAATATATTCGATAAAATTTTGTGGCACGTTTGGATAGTCACAAAAAAAATTCTAAGCATATGTTCTGAATGAGCATAAAATTCTGATGCTAATACCTGTAAATATGCTAAAAATAGTCAAATACTTTGCCGAGAAACTTTCAATATACGCCTTATTAGATTTCTACATGATCGAACTCAAGGATTACTTCGATAATTTAAGAGAACATTGTAAATAGTTTGTTATCATGGCGATCGCAAGCTAAATCAAATTAGCCAATTGTAATACTTGTAAAAACAACATAAGAAATAAGTCAGATTACTTATTGAATAATAAAAATTTAATGAATTCGTTAGTACATCAATGTCATAAGTACTATCGTTCCTTAACAGAAACTTCTCAGAAGTAAATTATTTACTGATCAATTTTTAAAAAAATGATATAGGTTATTATGTGTATCTGGCAGTGTTAATTTTAGTCTATCGCTGTACTTTAAGGATACTCTTCTCTTTTTTTTAGCATTTCTGTTTCTCGAGGAGGATACAACGAATCCGCATGAAATTTTTATCACAGATGGAGCACCTAAAATAAGGAGCTAAATGTGTTCGAGGAAAGAAATTTTAAACAAGCTTTTTGCACTTTTTGTAGGAGAATTCTGGTTTTCCATAGAACCACGTTGGATCCACTTACTTTTATATGTTGGACTTGTGGTAGAAATTTCATGTAGATCCATTGTACCTCTTCGAGAACCAGAAATAGTCAAAAAAGAGGAGGATACCCTTAGTAAGACTTATACTACTTAGTGTAATGGACACTTTGCGGGACCTTGTAGATGAATGAGAAGTATCATTCAACTAAACAAACGCTTTTGTTTACATAATGAAACTTTCTCATTATCTATCGATTGTAAGATGCATAAATCTTTCTTGAGAAAAGAAGTAAAGTTCGTGCCAAGATCATCCAACAGATTTGGATCGAGTTAATTGAAACTGTTCTTCTCGAAGCTTGAATAAAAACTATTTCCTTCATTTATTCATTTTCTACAATGAGAGCATTACAAACAAGAAAAACTACATATCAATTTTAAAAGTATTTTCATTATAAATTTTATAAAATTTCGATATTCAAATATCGAACATATTGTGGAAAGCCAAATTCTTTTTTTCTTAGCAAGATCATATATAATATGTTTACATTTAAAAGCTTCAAACAAACTGCAAACTTAGACTATTTAAAAAAAGTATGAAACATAATCTTCAATGTAGATTAAAAAGTAAAACAAAAAGTATCTTGTAAAAACACAATCGTTTTTAACTTAAGATAAATTCTACTAAATTAGAGAATTAAATTTTATTGAAAAATTTTTTTTTTCGTGATTAAGGCAACTGATCAATCATTTCTACATAAATGTCATCGTGTTCATGAATCAAATCGTTTATATGGTAAACCACGTTTATTAAAAACAACTTTTAGTATCCGACATTATGCAGGTGACGTTGAATATGATGTAAGTTAATCGAAATTCTCTATAATTTAATTATATTCTATACATATTTTTAAAAAAAATAAAAGGTACATGGATTTCTTGATAAAAATCGTGATTTATTACGCAGTGATGTTATTGATTTATTTTCATCAAGTCGCAATGAAATCTTAGCTAATATGTTTCGTGATATACGTGAAGTCTATGAATCTCATCGTGGTTTTCATTTTAAAACAGGTCGTTTTATAACAATGAAAGCTAAAACACCAACTGTATCAGCAAAATTTTCTGATAGTTTATCAAATTTAATTGATACAATGACACGTTGTCAACCAACATTTATTCGTTGTATTAAACCAAATAATGATAAAACACCTAATAAATTAGAATTATCTGTTGTACTTGAACAATTACGTAATACAGGAATGCTTGAAACTGTACGAATAAGAAAATTAGGTTTCCCACGTCGTTATTCATTTGAACAATTTGCTAAACGGTTTGTTAAAAGAAAATATCATTGAATTTAAATGATGAACTATTGTCTTTTTATTTAGATATCGTTGTTTAATGCCACAATCAAATGATAATACCGATCCAAAAGAAATAACAATACATATTTTAAATAATTTTCCACCAAAATTTACTTCAAAATATCAAATAGGAATTGCAAAAGTAAATTTTTGGATCTAGGACACTTGTTTACAAGGGTGTGAATGAAGAAAAAATTCACAGCTACGAGCAACTGTTCAGCTCTCAAATTTTTATTTATTCAGACCCACTAACGAGGAAACGTTTTCAACTAATCCATCGATTTTGAATTCGGACTCAGTGTATAACGTAAAGTCCAGTGAGATATTACAAAAATTTCAGAAACATACATCTCTTTTAGATCTTCTATCGAGAGTTAAACAAACAGAACTATAACAGCTTGGTTCAGTTCGATTCGGTCTCTGATGTTTATCATGCCCGAGACTAAAATTCTAGTAAAATGCCTATAACTCTGAAAAGAAGGTCTAAAAAGATTTATCTTTGTGAGGTTGTTTTTCATATCTCACTGAACTCAACTCTATGCACGGAGTTCGATTTCAGACAGGATTGATTAGTTTAAAACGTTCGCTCGTAAGAAAAAAAAAACAAATCAAAATTTTATCTTATTATTAAATAAGGTTTTTATGCGTGAATCACTTGAATATCATCTTGAAAAAGAACGTTCATTAATATTAAATGAAGCAGCATCAACAATTCAACGTACAATAAAAGGTTATATTCAACGAAAAAATTTCGAAAAACAACGTCATGCAATTCTTATTCTTCAAAGACAATATCGTCATTGGATTGATAATAAAAAGTAAGTCAAATCTAAATATTTACACTATTGAACGACAATAAACATAATTACAAGTCGATCATCACATCATTTAACGAAATGTCAGACAGGGATTATTTGATTAATTGAATGAGAGCGTACGACAAGAACAATTTTTCAATTAATTGTTAGATTTGAAAAATGAAAGCAACAGGATCACCATCAATAGGTCGTTTTCAACGTCGACCAAGCTTAGGAACATCTATAGCTAGAGCTATGATATCGATGAGTCCCGATGTTACTTTTGATAGACTTTCTGAAATATCAACAAGTCTTAGTATAAAATTATGTGAATCACTTGAATCAACTTTTTCGGGTACATCTTGTTTTTCTCCATCGACAGCTTTAAGTCATATAACAGGTAGTAGTTCAACATTACATTCAATGACTGAGTAAGGAAAAAATAAAATAATAAATTTGTTTTTTTATTTTGATAATTGAATTTATTTTATTATTTAGACGAACAACAACTTCAAATTCTCCAGAATATCAGGTGGATTTTATAGAAAAAAAGAATTATTTGATAATAAAATTTGAAAAATTATTTTTTTTAGCCAACACAATTTCATTTACTTGAAATACCAAATGAACTAAATATAGTTTTTAATCGTCTTGATGGTATTTATGACTTTTTTGTTCTTTTTTTTTATTTGAATACGTAAAATCTACGAAAACGAAACATGACTATCTTTGATTCTTTTTAAGGGTTATTTTGTTCGAACAATTCAATAAAAATTTTGCATGAGGATTTTGTAGCCCGAAGAACCCTCTACAAAACGAACTTTTTAGTTTTCAAAAATATTGTTTGGACTTGCAGGATTTGTAAATAGAAAAATACTCCTTTTTTTGTGTGACATTACCAATGCTGGGTTTTCAATAATAACTCAGCGGCACAAGGTCTGTGGGACTGAATTTTTCAGAGTATCTATAAAGATTAGCTAAAAGAAATGCTCAAGCTGAGAGATATAGGTGTTTTTATTTGACGAAATCACGTCACTAATGAATGAAATTATCCATATATGTTTTTTGTAGCTTGGCAAGAACCACATAGTGAACAACATATCATTGAAACTTCTCGGTCAACAAATGTTATTCCTACTGAACAACATTTATTTTCATTGAATAATAATACAGGAACATCATCATTTATGAAATATATTCAAGAAAATACTAACGTAAGTTTTGTTTTCTGTTTGTCAAGATTTATTTTATGAAATTTTAATAAACATACATATATATATATATATATATTAGCTTGGAATGAAATGGGATCGTTTATTGGCTCCAATTAAAGAACCATTTACAAAACATATGCATGAACAACAACATATTCAATTAGCATTGTCATTATTTAAATTAGTAAGATAGAAACGTCTTTGTTTTATCTTTTGTATATGAAGACTATATAGATTTTACGTTTTGTCAATACATCGGAACATGATACAAAACGAGATCGAGCATTAGGTGATTATATAGTTCAAATGGTATGTTGCAAAAAAAGTCACTTTTTATAAATAAAATGATGTATTTCTTGAAGGGTTTAATGAATGAAATTTTACGTGATGAAATACTAATTCAAATAATAAATCAAATATGGAATAGTATTGACTTTATTAAATTAAATAAAGCATGGCTTTTAATGTTTAATTGTATTGGCTGTTTTCCACCGTCGTCAAAACTTTATAAACATTTATTCAAGTATTTGATTTCAAAGAAGCTTGTCGGATAAGATGACTACCCTTCATTTGAAAAGCCACCTGTACTGTTTTGTGAAGCAACTCATGACGCGTCCAATGGTACAGAGAAAATTACTTTTTCATCGTTTTAATGTTCTGAGAAACCATATACCAGTTAAGAGATATTATAAGAACTGTGGATGATATGAACAAATATTAGGATCCAATATACCTTCAAACTAGCCTATACCAAATTTTGTTTAAAGTTACTTCAATAGAGTTTTGTCTGATCTTCCATCGTGTATATCTCTAATAATAGCTTTTTTGATATCCAAAATCTTAGCACTTTTATTAGCTTCTGTAATTTTTGACTTTTATGATGTTTTAAATTCTTCGATACTACTTCTGAGAATGAAGGCGAGGACACCATGCAACTTTTTCAGAAGTTATGTACCATTAGGCTCTATAAGTACATTAATTAATTGCACATTGAATTGTTGTGCATCATGGTCGAATCGGTCAATCAGTGCCTAAAAAAAAGACTAATTTTTTGGTTCCCAAGAACAGGCAAGTATATGAATTTTGCGATAAATATTTTTTCAGTGCAAAAATTTCTATCTGTTAATAATAGGTTTATCATGTCGTATCATTTGACATATATGGGTCTTTCGAAAATGGCAAAAAACTTTTCGCTTTGGAACTCATTGTGGAAGCACAGAAATGAACTATTACAAAGATTAGTTTTTATTTTATTTTGTTCCTTATGAATTTAGAATCTGAGTAGTCAAGTGTGATGAGAGTATGAAGATCTCTTAGATTCAATATATGTTCGATCTCTTATGTGGATTAAAAATTTTACATATCTTCGACCTCTTTTTAGAAGACTAAAAGCGAAAAATTTTTAAACCAGTTTTGAAAGATTCATATATGTCAAATAATAGGGCATGATGAAGTTATTATTATTATTATTATTATTATTAGATAGAAACTTTTTCACTCAAAAAAATTTTCATCGTAAAATTCATATACTTTTCTGTCGTTAAAAATCGAAAACTTGACCTTGTTTAGGCATTGATTAGCAGATTTGACTGTGACGCACAACAATACAAAGGACAATCAATTGGTATACTTATAGAGTTCGGTAGCACACAGTTTCTGAGAAAGATGCATGATTAGTCACTTTTGCTCTCAGAAGCAATATCGAGGAATTTGAAACGTCATAAAAGCCAAAAAGTACAGAAGCTAGTAAAAATGAAAGATTTTGGGTATGAAGAAAGCTATTAGTAGATATACATGATTGAAGACTAGACAAAACTCTATTGAATTAACTTTAAACAAAATTTGATATAGATTGGTTTAGAGACATATTGGATCTCAATATTTGTTCATATTACCCACAATTGCTATAATTTCTCTTGGTTGGTATATGACTTTTCAGAACATTAAAGCTTGATGAAAAAGTAATTTTTCATATGTCATGGGATGCACCATGAGTTGGTCTACAAAACAATATAGATAACTTTTCAAATGAAGAGTGGTCATCTTATCCGACAGGGTCTTTTATTAATTTCTCTTGATTCTTCTTTTGTAGTTTTGTCTCAGAAGAAAATCCATCAAATAATGAATTAGGTAAACGAAAATTATTAGCAGCAGGTTCGACTGATGCACCAAGAACATATCCACCAACACAATTAGAATGGTCTGCTAATAAACGTTTGATTCCCATGGCACTTCAAGCAGAATTTTTTGATCGTAGAAAAAAAGTTTCATAGAATTTTCAATGAATAAATTTTTTATTTTAATTAGATTTTGAAATTCTTGGAGAAGTTGAATCATGGATGACAGGTGAACAATATGCATATGAATTAGTATCATCACGTGGTATATTAAAAGATAATTCATTTGGATGGACTGTATCATTAGAAGATAATGACATTGAAATTGAATTAATGGGACATGATTATATACTTGATTTAATAAGTGAATTAGAAATTCCTCCATGTTCACCAGTTTGTAAATCATTTTTTCTTATTCATGATGGTCGTGATCGTTCATCAAAAAGTCAACGACGACGTAGTCATCGTACAACAGTTAGGTAAGTTTTTATAGATACAAAAAAAATTTAAAAAAAAACAAAACAAAACAAATAAATAAAATTATTCTTTTAATCACAAAAACAAAAATCTTAAATCTAATAGATCGAAAGAATGGTTTTTAAAAATTGATAATAGACGTTCAAGTCGTTTATCAAAAAATGGTCGACGAGTATCATCATCAAATTGTTCGTCACCATACAAATATCCAAAACATTTTAGTAGTGATGATCAACAACAAATTGAAAAAAAATATATTAAACATCATTCACCTGTTTATCATGATGTCACTAGTAAAAAATCAAATTCATCATTATCATTATCATCAGAAAGTTTAGATGAACATCAACCATTTCCACCACCACCATCATCGGCAACAAAAGATTTTTTAAAAACTGATACAACTAGTGCATATTCAATAACTGATGGTCAACAAGAAGAAATTCTTATACAAAAAAATGACATAAACATACCATGTCATCAAGATACACCAGCATTACCACCATTATTATCATCATCAAGATTGAGTAGAGAAAAACTAAAAATTGATGAGGATATAAAATCTATTGAAAAACGAGTACAAGTAAATAATCAATCATCAATTAATAAAATAAATCTTAAATCAATACCATTGCCAACTAATGAACGTAGAGAATCGATACGTAAAACAAATACATTTACATCATCATCACATTCAATGATTGATGCTGGATGTGGTGGACATCTTCTATCAAAAATCCCGGCTTTGCGTTGTTTTCGTCCAACTAGACAACATCATACACAAAAATCTCATAAAACATCACCGCTACCTCCACCACCACTTGTTGTTAGGTAGAGATGCATCAATTTTCAATATGTTTTAGCCATGCATGTGAATGTGCATGAGATCGAATTTGCATGAAATAATTTTTCCTTTACTTGAGCATCATCTTATTATCAAAAATGATTAAGATCAATATAAAAGTATTCTGTTTTTTAGTGATTATAGTGGTACAGATAATCCAACATCATTTTACGGAGAATTTTCTGTTTGTTCTGATGGTCCAGCAAATTTAAATCAATATGAAAAAATTGGTAAGATTCATTTTATATTCAAGTTTAATAAAATATCAAAATAAAACAATTTTTTTTAGGTTCATCAATTCATAATGCAACAAAACTTGTATGTTTATTTATTGATTAGATTTTGTTTCATTATCTGTTATGTTTAGAATGGT